TATCATCATGAGAGTCATGGACAGCTTAAAAAAATCAAAACATAGTCTATCAAATTGAGGAAAGACAAAACAAGGGCAGAGCAACTCATTACTTTATAACCTTGACTTTTAACTGCAGTTAACTCAAGTGTTATCATCAATCTCTGAGGATTTATGATTTATCTAGATCATCGGCTCTGAGACTGAAACTTCTTTGAAGATGATACGCCTTATAAAATGATTGTTATGCTTTTATTTTGACATTTTTTTCCAGTGAATTCTCTAAAAGTAGCCTGCCAGTTTTACTCTGTGCTCAACATTTTTTTGTTTTAGGTTCAAGTGATCGAGGTGAGACGTGTATCGAAGCAGCAGAACATTCTCAATGTTTTAACAATCTGTCAGCGGCATTTTCCACTGGTCTAGATTTCTTCCTTTAAGTGCTTTTCCTGCATGAACACAGTAAAGCCACATGTTTGGTGAGTGGACCATCCAGTCTGCTCAACCTCATATCTCCTCCTCCTCCTCAGGACACAGAGTATCAGCTCAGGAGAGCATGAAATTGAGTTTGGAGACAAATGGGAGTAAGTGATGTTTCAACGATAACCTAAAGCAAACACCCAGGCCATTAGCAAGTTAACAAGCCAAACAGTCTAATCAGCTGCTCTTTCTTCTCTTTGCTCTGTGTATGACTGTGGAGCACTTACTGGGTTTAATGATGAACAGAGGCTATGGCTGGGTTTCAAAAACAGACCTGGATACAGCCGGGGGGCAACTGGTGGTCTGAGCATATCACTTTGTTTCCCAACTGAGGAATTTGTGGTTTAGTCTGTCAGATGGAAAACATACTGAGGGAACCTGGAAGAGAGGTAAGCACACTAATGAATGTCTACAGAAGAGTTTAATTAAGACAACATTATCTTGGGGACTTGAATCTGCCAGAGGACATCACTTGCTTATGCACAGTCGGACTTTAATTGAGATAAAAACCAAGATAGGATATAGTGCCTATTAAACTCATCAGTGAGCACAGGTTTCTTAAGATGGGGAGTCTTTGAGCTGGCTGAACACTGAAAAAAAAAAAAGGTTTAGTATTAATATTAAATTAACTGGGATATGAAAGGACAAGTCAATTGAGGTTTCATTTCCTATCTCCCCAGAGAGCCCTCAGAATGTGAATATGAATTATGAGCATTCATCCAAAACAAACAAAAAGTGGAGCAGTGATTTAGGAGCGAGGACTCTGGAGGAATACCTAAGGGGCGCCCTGTCCCAGCTCCAGATCCAGCTCCAGTCCCTGGAGGCCTGCAGTCAAGTATGAAGAGATAGCAGCTGCCGTATCAACGTCCTGAGCCTCTGGGAGTTTCGGGCAGAAGCCTCAGAAAGTTGAACTCACATTTGCAGCTTTGGTCCAAATTAAATTTGTGATGTTACTGGAAATAAAATAAATCTGGGGGAAAAGTCGTCTCAAATATCACAAGTATTCAGACCTAGAACAACTCCCACACACTAAACCCATGTGGCAGCCATAAGAAAATGCTGAAATATTATTGCAGTTTTGTCACTGGTGCTGTGTTTTCAGAGGTGAAGTTGGACAACCACAAAGAGGATTTAAAACTCATTTCAGTATCCCCTGATCCATGAGCTACAATAAGGGCAATATGGTGAAAATCCCCCCACTATTTTCAGTCGTGTAACATGATAACCAGTCAACAAACAACAGCCAGGGGTAGCTTTCAGTTAGTTTCTATCTTTTATTGAACAGGAGGATATTAAGGCTACTTGTTGATCGAGTTGTCAAGAACACAAATAAAGAAAGAGAAGCAAAAATCACAGAGCAGAACAAAACTGACATCAGTGGCAATACATATGACAAATAAGTAACATGGAACGTTTAGTTAAAGTGTCTCTATTGTTTCACCACTTCAGCACCCCAGTGTTATAGGTATCAGGACTATGAAAAGACTGAGACATGCGGCATCCCGACCTCATTTGACGACATAAACTTAGAATCACTCAGATTCAAGTCCCTGTAATAAGTATGTCAGGTTTTAAGAATCAAAAACTTTATCAATACAGATTCATTTGTGAGCAACAACCAATCTCTGGCTGTCCTCTCCTACTAACACACCTTGCACACCCAGAAATGAACAAAATATGTTTGGTTCCTGATAGTTTGTCTGTTCTGAGCTACTGTGGAAAACATGGTGGGTACAATATGGCAGCATCTGGAGCGAGGACCTGCTGCTTCTGTGATACTGAAGAGTTTTTTAGATCATCAGAAATGAAGCAGTTATTATATTGCATTGAATATAAACCAATTTAAATGTTCATCTGCATAATTTGTTCCATTTTTTTTTTTGAAAAATGCTGCTAAATTCTACACAGTGTACCTTTAGTTTTGTTGCTTTGTGTCCTGCTTATGCAATCTTTTAAACATTAGGAAAGATTCTTACCAGAAAGAGGCTGAGCAGTGAATGAGGAGAGAAAATCTATTAGTTTACAGTCGTATAAAATTGAAACCTCAGCCTTATACTGAAGCACTGATATGATAACTTCCTACATTCTTACATTTACAGGACAGAGAGGTTTGGCATTAATATAATAAAAAGGATTGTAGATAGAAAATGACTGTTGTGTGAATACAGTTCACAGAAGGATCAAGTCTTCAATCTGCTTCAGTCTGCTGAGATTTTTCTGAGACTTAAATTCCTCTTTAATAACAGCTTTAGTTTTAATCGTACACTGCACTGGCTTAAAACATTCTTCTCCACAGATGCTGTTGTGAAAATTGTCAATATCAATACATCCACAAAGGCTCATCTCCTCTGTTGTAACATGAACAAAACAAGACGCTTACAGTGCAGGAAATGATGGTTTCTAGAGAGCCATTCAGCATACAGTAATTACTACTCTACGGGGAGATAATGATGTTGAATGGACCTCTAACAAAAGACTGGACTCACTGCTTCATGTTTCGAGTGGTGCTTTTCAGATGAAATATTGCCTGGTTGCTGCTCTGGCAACAATACAGTCCTATCATGACTGGCCTGCTGTCTTTTCAGGAAACTGTTCACTCAAGTGACACAGTCACAGAGTGGACACTGAGGACAAAGTAGAATCTGTGCTTCAAATTCAAATAGAGTTAAACAGAGTTGACCTCTTAATTTGCTCTTTAATTTTTGATTTTTGCTAACTATTCAGTTCTCTGTCTTTTATGATCATCAATCCCATGGTAAAGTTTTAAGGTGGTTTCTACTACTACTTTCTACTAGCATGTTTATAAAGCCTTATTAATGCATCTATAGGGCTTTATAACAACCCGTATGAGTGATAATAAAAAATCATAACAGCTTACAGCAATGTTTAGAAAGTATTTCCAGTAGTCAACATAATGCCTTATAAAGATACTGTTCATAATGCATTATACCTAAAGTTTGAGTTAAATTAGAAATCCCTGTTCTTAAAGTTATGTACAATTGTCATTTAAAGACACTTTAGATAATCACCGGACATCATAAATACAATTTTTTAAGAAATTACCTTTTTTATTTCCTGTTTTTGTGGTTTGATCTTCCCAAATGTTATTTATTGGAGCATGAAAACTGACCCTTTAAAAAGGAAAAGGTGACAGAAAATATGACGTACCATAGACCAAAACATCAACTTGTGAGTGTATTTCTTCAGCATCTCAGATAAAAGCCAATAACGCAGGACAGATCCCTAAAATAGCTGTTTAAAAACATCCACACACACATGTTGGTGTAAATGTTATCCATGTCAGGCAGCAGAGTCACTGTCAGGAACATACAGGGCTGTTCTGTCTGAGTGACGTCTGCAGCTTTGAAAAGGTACACTGACAAAGATATGCCGTGAGCTGATGTGTCATTGGTGTGGTCTTTACACATCCTCAATCCTCCATAAGAAACAGAAGCAGAGAAAATAGAAGAGCACCCCCACCATTCAGACACCAAGCATCTTGATTGTACTGGAGGACTGTGTTACTCTGGCTTAAAAGCTTTTCAGGTGAGAGAAAGGAGAAAATACTATCTGATCCCTCTGTTGCTACAAAAGAAGCAAAAAAAAAAAATCTTTTCTTTCTGTCAGCTATTGTTCTCTTTATCTTTCACTGATTGAAGCTTTAGGGTTAATCCTAGAAGGTGTGATAAAAGGGCTTCTGACTCACGATCAAGACTTGACTCTCTTTTGAAGGAGTTTACAGCCTGTCCCCTTTGTGTAATTTCATTGAAGGAAACATTTTTTGCTCTAAATGTCTAGACCTAAACTCTACAAATATGAAATCAGTTATGAAACAGAAAAAAAAAAAACAGTAGTATGATTAAGACAGAAGAAGGAAGTTGGAAAGTGATAATTCAAGCCAGTGCTGCTTATTGCCATCAATAACAGCACTATGGAACAAACATGAGTTGATTTTACTTCAGTTTTACCTTGCATTCACTCTTGGTCGTTTAACACTACAGTCCACTATCCAGTGGGAGAAAGCAAGAATAGTCTAGCTTCATACCAGTGTCATACCAAAGACCAGTGCCAGGATTTGAACCCAGGTTCATCTCTGTGACCTCTTTTCCATCAAGCTGCTGCCAGTGCTAGTTCTGGGCTGGTGCTAGTTTACTTTTCCAAAGAAGCCACGTCATTGCGTCACTACATATGTCTATTATTTCCCAGCACAGATTGCACGCTGTCTTGCAGCACAACATCAGTGTTGCTCCTAACTTTAAAAACATTTATCAGTATCCACACATGGATGGTCCATAGGCCTGTCGCGATAATCAATAAATCGCCTTATTGCTCGATAAATAAAAACGAGGTCGATAACTTTGCCAGCCTCGATAATTGACGTGCGTTTGTTTTCCTCCTCTCTCGCTACCAAACACGCTGGATGAGAGAAGAGGTCTCACTCTGCGCATTGTTCTCGGCACCTGGGGGCGTTGGCTCTATAGCGGAATGAACGGAGTTAGTGAACCCTCCTGTCAGTCATTCAGTGTCTTTGTCACGACGGGGCTGGCGCGCACAGGCACACAGACACAGACTTTTTAGATACAGTGCTGCAAGTGAGCGTCGTGAGTGAAAAGCAAGCTAACAGAATGAACACGACAGCTTTGGTGTCTAAACCGAACGCAACAGCCCAAGTGTGGGAATATTTCGGCTTTAAACCAGTTTTGTTTTCGTCAACCACAAAACTCCACGTGTGTGTGCGCGCGCGCGTGCGTGCGTGTGTGTCTGTGTGTTGGAGGAGCACAGCAGGCTGATGAGAGCTGTCAGAGCGGACTGAAGCTGCTCCTATATGTTTAGCGTTTAACTGACTGAGTTTTGCAACTCTGGTCGTCATTTTCGTCTCGTCCCATCAACGTAAACGCACTTTCGTCTCGTCACATTTTAGTCATCTCCGACTTATGTTTAGCTCGTCAACGTTACGTCTTCGTCGTGGGAGAAAAGGGAAATATTTTAGTCAACGAAAACAACCAGTGTTGTTCTCGTGTGGAAATTAAAGTTTATCACTTTTGACATGGTGTACTCGCATTATTATGCCATATAATATGATTATCTATAATTAAAAAAATGGTGTCAATAATATCGTTTATCGGCGATAATTTGTAGCACAATTATCGTCCAGCAAAATTTGTTATCGTGACAGGCCTAATGGTCCAGAGAATTAGGTCTGCTCACAGGAAAGCTATTTTCAAAGCCAGTTCTTTGGCATAAGAAAAATAAAGAACTGGTTCCAAGTTAGTCACTAGAATGAACCGGCTCAGAGTAAAAAAGTCTACACGATGCTAACATTATCAAATAAATATTCACTTTCTGTACTCTTCATTTAATAACGAAGCTTGCATCTTTACCTTCTCAGCATCTTTACCTTCCTGGTGAACATCACGGTCACACCTTCCCTCACAGCTTACACATAAATAGTCTTTATAAATAACGTTAAAAAATCCTCCTGCAATAAAATAAGTACTATGAGTTCAATTCTTAGCTGTAACTCACATGTGGTGAACACACTTTTGTAATAAATTATTCAGTTACATTAATAGAATACACATTTGAGGAAGTGCTAACCACCACATTAATATGTTACTTCTCTAGTTCCAGTTCAATGCACTACGGTGCCACTCTTACTTATCATGGTGCTATAACTTTAAAATTCACCATTCAAGAACCACACATGTGCCTGGCATTGAATATGAATCCCTCTTTCCTTTAGGCAACAGGGGAAAAATTGTTTATCTTCCAGTTCGGTCTGAGTGTTTAAAATCGGGTCAACACTCCCGTAAGAAAAAGCAACTACAAGTACAACAAGCACTCGAAACAGTGCCTGGAAAGAAGAAATGAAATAATAAATACACAAAATAAAGGAACCACTTTAAGTAAAATGCAAAAAATGTATAATAAGGTCTTTTGGAAATAAATATATTTTCAGAAGTGATTTAAAAGAAGACACTGATGGAGTTAGTCAGTGATCCACAGGCAAGTTGTTTTACAGGTGAGGAGCCTGAACAGCAAAAGCCCGGTCTCCTTTGCCTCTGAGTTTGAGGTGGAAACTTTGAAGAGGTTTCTGCTTCTGAGGCTACGCACTGGTTGATAAGGAACAGAAATTCTGATATGTATTCTGGGGACAGACCGTGGAGTGCTTTAAAAGTAATGAGTAAAACCTTAAAATCAAGCCAGTGTAAGGTCATTAGAAAAAGAGTGAGAAGCTCTCTTTCCTCAGTTTTAGTTAAAGATCTCGCAGCAGAATTTTGCACTATTTAGAGGCAATTAATTAATTCTGGTTTACTCCTGTTAAAAGACCATTACAGTAATCTAATCATGAGGAAATAAAAGCATGAATAACTGCTTCTGTGTCATTAAAGTCAGCACAGATCTAATTTTTGTGATGTTTCCTCAATGGTGATAGCATGATTGAAAAACTGAATGTTTCTGAAAAGTGAGGCTGCAGTTAAAAGTAACTCTGAGCTTTCTTTTGATTTGATTTTTTACATGTAGTGAGAGAGAACCAAGGGAGGACTGGCTTTTGGGGTGTAACTTCTCTGCACCAGTAATGAGCCATCCATTTTTTAATACCAGTGAGCCAGTTTGTAAGATTTTAGAGACTTTGTGTGGTAGATCCAACTGAATGTCATCAGAAAAGCGATGTAATTAAATATTGTGTCTCTGTATTCTGGGACTAAACAGCAGCATGTGCATCGAAAATGAAATTGGTCCCGAAAATAACCCCTGAGGCACTCCACAGTTCATTTTAGAGTGAGGGGAAATATGCTCTCCAATTGACACATAAAATCTTCAATTTATAAAACCAAAAGACCATAAATCTGTGCCTGATATACCAACCCAGTGCTGCAGCCTCTCAATCATAATGTTGCAGTTGACTGTGTCGAATGCTGCATTTAAATCCAACAGCACAAGGACAGACTATATACCAGTGTCTGATATTCTTATGTCTCTTCATTGTTCCTCCAAGCCTCTTTTCAGACACCCTAGAATCAACTTTATCAAGACTGGAATATTTTTACTTTATTAAAAATATTCCCAGGAGTATAACATCTTCTATATAATGGGTAAACATATGAATGTGTGTATACTTGGATTACCTCATAGCAACCCTGTATTAGTCTGTGTTTTTATTTTCCCCCTCTGTTTTAAAATAATCTGGCTTCACTCCTGATTATCTACATGTCAAAACCTTACAACCAAATTCTCTGTTACTTTGAACTTAGCGTTACCTCTTATGTAACCTGCACAGCAGACTGTTCTGCTTTAAGTGGTTGCGGCTCTACAAAAAGATCCTTTATTTGTACAAATAAAAGAATAGTTTAGAAAAAAGGGAATCCACGAATTAATGCTTCAGGGAAGATTTTGAGAAGCCTCATGCCCAGTTTTCAAAAAATCTCATACAGTTGTATCCTTCAACATACTGTATATTACATTTTGAATTGTTCAACACGAAACATATGGGCTTCAGTCTCTGCCAGTCTCTGATTCATTCTGTTATATAATCATTTAGAACAAAGACAGTGAAGTGTCTGGCTGTCAGTATGTGTTAATCTGTCTGTTTCAGCCTCAGGTTGGCTTTAGGCTCTCCAGAGGATTACTGAGTTGTCCTTATACGGCTACTCAAAGATAGAGACGAAGAGAGAGGGAGAAAGAGTGGAACAAAGCTGGGCCCTGGCATTTCTACATCTAGTGGTGAATGAGCAGCACTCATGCACAGTCACACACTCTCTCCACAGATCCCCCAGGCTCATAGACTGTGACTCTAGCCTGCCAGAGAGGAATTTAACAGCTCTGCTTCTCTGTGCGTCCACTCCTTCACTGCATCGCCCCACACGCACAAACATACACACAGTTCGACATGAATCCACTTTACCTCATTTGCTCTTGTTTTGTGTGTGACACAGCAGTTTGAGGGGTGCTTGGGCTGCTCATTTAGAATAATAGTGAATGCAGTGTCCAAGCTCTGACATCAAATAAAGAAATTCTAATAAATTGATTTTAATCTTTCCATTTTCTTGTTTTAATGTATCAGAAAAGACTAGTCCTTGTTGGTCAACAGAGCCATGCAAGTCACTGGGCTTATCCTGAGCCCCTTTCTCTTCCCTATCTGTTGGTGTGTCATTAAAGGGATATTCCGGCGTAAAATTAAATTAGCGTCAAACACACTGTTACACTGAGTTAGACACACCCTGTCGAGAGATAAATGTCGCAGTGGCTAGTACTGTGGCTGGGACCCTATATGTACTGTTGATGAAGTTAGGTGCTGTTCTGAGCATTATTTGTGGCTATAGAGTGGAGTTTTGGTTGATCGCGTGGCTCTGTGTATTGCTATCTGCGGTCGTTACTAAAGTTGGTATAACAAGAGAAGCAAGCGGTCTGCAACATTCATCTCTCGACTGGGTGTCTAACTCGGTGTTATGGTGTGTTTGACCCTTGCTTAGTTTTACGCCGGAATATCCCTTTAACTTTAAATCATCATGCCCCATTAAAGTTACAAACCACAGTCTTTTCTGGGAATCCCTGAGCCCCCTCATGTCGTAAGTTCCCCTGGATTGCTGCTGCAGACCTCCTGCCAGGTGTCTAGCTGCTTCAACATGCAGTCCCACCACTTTTAACACTGGTACAAAGCTTTTGTTAATTTATTAGCACAAGTCTCTCAATTGTTATCACTGTTAGCACTGTTTCTTAATTTCATTATTAAAATGCAGTTACTGTTATACTATACCCATAGATTTGATGTCTTAAATTTGCCAAAAAACCGAACTGAGATCAGTCTATTATAACTGACATGCTGTTCCTGTAAAAAGTACTCATGCTTGTTATCCAAACATCGGTCTACTTACATCCATCTCTGGTCTGAATTTTCTTATATTGGCATACTCATACTTTGATAGGTTTTAGTGTAAATTTGTTGCAAATAAATTGTAATCTGCGTGTTATCACAAACCTAGTACTAACTCTTCAGATTGAAGCTGTGTGGTTTGTTCAAATCACACAAGTTTCAGCGCCTTGGTATCATCTGCACAACTTTACCAACTACCACAAAGTGTCGTACACAACCCAGCTTCTAAAAGTCAAACGATCCCTTTAAGTTAACTCAAGAATTGTTTTAGGTCAAGTCTCTTTTGATGTCAGTACGTTGGCAGTGTACCTGGTGTTTATGATAAAAATTGCTACAGGTATATGTCGACATTTAGCTAACGTGACGTGACGATGAGCTGGATGACGGTTGATGGCACAAAAAGGTCCCCCATCATTCCTCCCTGTTTTGCTATGTTGCGATGTGCGTAGTGCAAACGTCAAAACGAATCTGTGGACATCAAATGACGGCCAGATTTGAGTGTGTGTCATCCTCTCTTTTAAGTTTTTCCTCTGATAAAATTCTAATTAACTTCAGTCCTGGATGACAAGTGAGGGCAACAGGGGGAAATGGGTCCCTGTCAGTTTGTGATAGACAGGCATTGCAATTTCCATGAACACGTACACCTACACAAGTAAAGTTGTGAGCCGTTTGTGATTTATAAAGTAAATTCCCCTGCAAATGACATAGAGTACAACCAAATATTCATCATTTGCCTTTATCTCACACCTGTCTTCCTGTCAGAGTAATGTTTGAACAGATGCAGCAGACTGTGAGGTAGTGCTGCTTTAATGAATGGGTAGTGCAGAGCCTCCAGACTACAAATAGGAAATGTGCAGTGAGTTTAATATCGGATAAATTTGATAGTATTCATTCTCGGCAAATTACTTCTCTCCCCTGTTCATCTTCTCCTGCTTGACACGCACAAAAACACCAGATAAAGGAGTGGGAAATGCTTAACGGAGAATCAGTATTCCAGCTCATGCTCGACTGAAACAGGACGGATTAATATGAGGACAGAAAACTTGGTCCCCTGTCACCCATGGGTATAATGCGGTCTCCAGCATATCAGGGTGCCCCAGCTGTGACCATGGAGTCCTATCATTTCTCAGCCATGTAACCCTTTCTACACCCTTTTTGCCTTTTCCCACCAGCCGGAAAAAAAGAAAGTCCAATAA